GCCCAGGCCCAGAGTTCAGGCCCCATGACCGGACCAAAAAAAAAAAAAAAAAAGGAAACTTAATTCCATTAGTAACAAAAAGCTAGAAGTTGAGCTGTGGCTCAAATGGTAGAGCACTAGGCTTGAGCATAAAAGCTCAGGGACCCAGACACAGAGTTCAAGCCCCAGGACCAGCAAAAAATAAAAATTAAATTATTCTATTGGTTTATTTTCTTATTTTTTTTATTTTTGGTCCGGTTGTGGGGCCTGAACTCTGGGCCTGGGCTCTGTCCCTCAGCTCTTCAGCTCAAGGCTAGCGCTCTACCGCTTGAGCCACAGTGCCACTTCCTGCTTTTTTTCTTTTTTCTTTTTTTTTGGAGGGGGTGTCCAGTCGTGGGTCCTGAACTCTGGGCCTGGGCTCTGTCCCTCAGCTCTTCAGCTCAAGGTTTAGTGTTCTACCACTTGAGCCACGGTGCCACTTCCAGCTTTTTTCTTATGTGGTGCTGAGGAATCGAACCCAAGGCCTCAGGCATGCAAGGCAAGCACTCTACCACTGAGCCACCTTCCCAGTCCTATTTTCTTATTTTTATCAGTTCTGTGGCTTGAACTCAGAGCCTAAGTGCTGCCCCTGAGCTTTTTTTCTCAAAGCAAAAATAAAAAATAAAATAAATAAACAGTGCCACTTCCAGTTTTCCAGTGGTTAATTGGAGATAAGAGTCATCGTCCTTTCTGCTTTGGCTGGTTTTGAACTGTGTGCTTCAGAGCTCAGCCTTCTGAATAGATAAGATCACAGGCATGAACCACCTGCACCCGGCTTGTGTTCATTTTTATCACCAAGTTTGCGACCCTTTGTGATGGCACCCATAGGAAATTAATATAGTGTGCTTTTTCTGCCTACATGAAGTGATAGAAGATCTAAGATCCTCTGTGCTGGTATAAACATTCAAACTGGGGCAGAAATGCAACGTTGCTAAAGCAGCCAGGTGTTTTTGGAATGCCTATGGGTGTCTACAGCTAATCAGACAATCCCAGTTCTCCTCAGACTATGGAGACTTAAATGGGCCTACAAAACAGAGATTCAATAACTAGACAGTTCAGGAGTCACTCAGTAGAGTTCTGGTTTATGTGCCATGCTCAGGGGGCCTGCAATAATTAGGAAGAGGAATTAATGCTGACTCCTGATGGAAGAAGCAAGGAAGGAAACTCATTTTAGGAAGTGGGAGAAATTAGAGTGTAAGAGCATGTTGAGCAAGGCTATTGATGGCTGAAGAATTAGTCTTCCCCTTAGCTTATGATTTCTCAATGTGTGTTCTCAGAAGGACAATAGGGTTCCTCAAAAGAAGGGCTGAATGGAAAATCAGTTGAGAGGGCAGGTCTGTACACTGTCTCCTCTCAAAGAAGTTCCCACTTTAGAACATTGGCGTTTTATTTATTTTTTATTTTTTGGGTCCAGTCGTGGGGCCTGAACTCTGGGCCTGGGCGCTGTCCCTCAGCTCTTCAGCTCAAGGCTAGCATTCTACCACTTGAGCCACAACACCACTTCCCGCTTTTTTCTTTTTGCTTATGTGGTGCTGAGGAATCGAACCCAGGGCTTCATGCATGCAAGGCAAGCGCTCAACCACTGAGCCACCTTCCCAGCCCAACGTTGGCATTTTAAAGTCTATAGAAACTCCAGTTTCTATAGTCCTGGGGCTTGAACTCAGGGCCTGGGCACTGTCCCTGAGCTTCTTTTGTCTACCACTTGAAACGCAGTACCATTTCCCACTTTTTCTGTTGATGTGGTAATGAGGAATCAAACCCAGGGCTTCATGCATGCTAAGCAAGTACTCTACCACTAAGCCACATTCCCAGCCCATAGTGATCCTTTTTGTTGTTGTTTGGTTGGTACTGGGGCTTGAACTCAGAGTCTGTGTACTGTCCCTGAGCTTCTTCACTCGAGGCTAGCGCTCTAGCACTTGAGCAATAGCTCTACTTCTAGCTTTTTGGTAGTTCATGGGAGATAAGAGTCTTACAAACTTTCCTGCCCAAGCTGGCTTTGAACCCTGATCCGCAGCTCTCAGCCTCCTGATTAGCTAGGATTATAGGCATGAGCCTCCAGTACCTGGCTTCATTCCTTCTTTCCCTCTTTCTCATTCCCATTCCCCACTCCCTCTTTTTCTCTTCTGTATCTCTAACAGTTCTCCCTTCTAATCCCATGTCTTTGCCTCTAAATTCCACATATAAGAGAAAACATGTTATACTGGTCTGAGTCTAGCTTGTTTCAATTAACAGACTGATCTCCAGTTCCAGTTTACTTTAAAAAAAAAAAACACAAGTTATTTTTCTTCTTTATAACTGAATGAATTCCTTATGGAGCCAGATATGGGTGGCTCAGACCTGTAATCTTAGCTCCCTAGGAGGTTGAGATTTGAGGATTGAAATTCAAAGCCAACACCATCACACAAATCCAAGAGATTCTTCTCTAGCTAGCCGGCATAATGCCGGAAGTGGAGGCATGACAGAGTGGAAAACCTAAGCGAATGCATGAGGTTCCAAGTCCAAGTCCCGCACGCATGTGCAGGCGCGCGCGCATGCACACACACATTCACACACACACACTCACACACACACACACCCCTACCTTCATGTGCATCTATATCTGCATATA